GTGTGTGTGTGTGTGTGTGTGTGTGTGTGTGTGTGTGTTGTGTGTGGAAATGACTTGTATTTCAAGGGAACGTGAAAGAGGAATCTGATGATTTTAAATGGACTTTCAAGTGCAGTGACATTTCCCTTTTTTATTCTTTTTTTTTTTTTAGTAGTCATGAAAAGGGGCTGGAAAACTACACTTAGGTTAGCATAGAGATGAGAAGATCCTGGTGCCCCTTCTTTTTTTCCCTTTCCCCTCTCTAATCCCTAAAGCTTGCTTAAAAACCATTTCATTATTTCAGTTTGTGCAGACATTATGGGACTTTGGTGTTCTGTTGAGAAGGGAAGTAATTTACCACTGAAAGTTTTGTTGGCTGTAATAAAACCTAATGAGAAAATGAGATGCAAAGAGTCTCAGTTCAGGGTTCATCTGAATTACAAGGTTTTAGTCAGGGGGAAATATTGGGAATTACCTCTTTGAAGCACCACTTTCTCTTTTACGAAAGCTGTATCAATAATGCCCTGGGGGCCACCTGGGTTTACTCAACACACATTTCTACCTTTTTTCTCCTACTTTATAGGTAAGATCCTTGAGCTTTAAAACATTTTTTTGCATCATAGAAACACTAAAAAATGAAACATCAATAAATTATGAACAAACCTGTGAATGCTGTATTTAATTTAAAGCTACTTGGGGTGAGGGACATAGAGTTAGGGAATCATATTAATGTTGGTATTCTAGAATGAAAAGAACAAAAACAAACACATGTGACAAATGCTACTCCTTTTCAAAAATTGCCAAGATTTTTCTTTGAAAATTCTATAATTAAATAGGTTGTAGATAAATTCTTTCTTTTGGAAAAAAAAAATGTCAGTCTAACGAGAAACAACCATATCCAACCCTTCCAACCTTAAATGAAGCATCCCCATTAGAAAATGAATTAGAAAAACTTTTAACCTTTTAAAAGTATTTTCCAATTTTATTTTTAATTTCATGAGGGATTTTTGTCATTGTTTATTTAAATAGCTTGCTTTTTAGGATCATCCTAAGGAGTGTCAATTCTTCTACAATTTGAAAACTGTAGAATGTTAAGACAATGAACAGGACCTGACTCAGATGTACTAGAGGCAGGAGGAGTAGACATGGTACTTGTGGTAGGAGGTCTTTCATGTTGTCTTATTTTTTTTCCTTCTTAAATATGAACGTAAAAAGCAAAACAACAGAAGACCTGTGACGGATTCTGGTTAATTGGCTTTTTAACTGATTGGATTTTGTTTTAAAATCATATGAAGCCTGAAAAATCTAATTACAAAGAAGTGAACTACAATTAACATTTATCATATTCATTCATTTATTCAACAAATCTTGAGCAACCACTGTGCTCTAAATACCAGTTCCTTTCTGCAAGGAGCTCACAAATACACATCCGTAATCATTAGGTAGTGGGCTGTGGGAACTCTGTGCTCAGGCCCATTTACAAGGTAATCTGCCAATAACACTGGCAGCAACTCCAGGGACACAGCTGTGGCTGGCTCCCTACTGTGGACACAGAGTCTCGCTGCAGTGTGGCAGGGAGGGGTAGGGGTTCAAGTTGAAGAATAGGCAGGGAGGGCCCACACCACAAAATTAAAGAAGGTAAACTCTATTCCTGGGCAATGGGGACCACAGGATTTAAGCACAGAAGTGACTTTAATTGTAGGTAGAGTGCAAATCCTTCGAGTAAATAAGACTGGGCTTTGGAAGCCAAGGGGGAGGAGGAGCATTTACAAACTGGGATAGTTCACATTCACATTAAAAAACTAGATTCTGTTGAAAAACACAGACCATCTCTCAATATTGAGTCCCTTCAAGGGATGGGCTCACTGAGTCAAGGCCACTCCTTCAGACGAAGTGTGTGCTCTCCAGGCCACTTGGCCTGCCTGCTTCACTCATTTAAGTCACCAGCATGTGCCTCTAGCAAGTTCTACTGTTTTGACCTCTCATGGGGTTTAAGAAGAGGTCTGAGCAAGGGCAGAGGCCTGGGAATCCCAACACAAGGGAGAAGACAAGCAAGAGGGGCCCCTCCATAGATCCCCAAATGGTGAGAGGGTATACTAAACATTTTTACCACAAGTTAGCTAGAGGTGAACATAATGGTGGCTTAAAAAATCAAACATGTTTTCCCCATTCTAAAGCTAAAGAGAGTCTCCTTTATAATGAAGACTTCACAAGTGTTATTGTTACTATTATTTATACTGAAAGTGACATTTTTTCCCCGTTGTTTAACATCAGAGGACCAGAATCTTGGTTTAGTTGGGAAAGATTGTGTAGTTAATTGTAATTAAAGCCATCAGCAGAGTGTTAGCAACAACAATAGTCAACATTTTATAGGACCTTATGGTTTTACAAGTACTTTCACACACATTATCTAATTTAATCTTCATGATAATGCTTTGAGGTACATTCTATCATTACTCGTCCTGTATACCCAGACATTGAAATGGCAGTAGATCAGTAGAAAATCATATCTAAACACCTCCCACTTCCCAAATCCAACAAGCCCAGTTGCCTCTCCTATGTGCTCCCAAGGGCCCTGGGTTGAAATTTCCAGAATCATTACCACTCTGTGCTGCAGTTCTCCCTCTCTAGACTTAGGCTCTTTGAGAGCAGGGCCTGTGTTGATAACTACTGTGTACCCAGGAACCAAAACAGAAGGTGCTCAGTAAAGAGTTGCTGCATGAATAAGTGGACACAAATACAAGAGAGTCCATATATCCATCTCCAATTCTAAGACGTGGAGAAAGAACATCATTGAATATCAAACTTAAAAAAGGCAAAAAAAAAAAAAAGGGCATAAATTCCTTTTCCAATCATTATTATGTAAACTAGATCCAAGTGGGGCTGCTCTAATTGAATGAGTAGCGAGTGGAAGTCAGAGCCTACCTCAGTGTCCCCTTCCTCTTATGCAGGCCCCTAAGGCACCTCCTCGGTCCATGGATTCCACCCATCACAGTTGGGAAACAAGGATGAATGAGGAAGTCAAGTCAAGTCGGCTTATGTCATAATTCCTTAGTGCCAAGTTCAGGTTTAGAACTTGGGTCCCTGATCTTACTGTATTTGTAGTCACCAAACCACATGCTCCCCTATCCACCCCTAATTTTGAATGTCATCCATAAAATTAGGTTAGACTAGATTATTTTTCTCAAGTTGCTTTCCCAATTCTAAATCATGTCATGCCAATAAAAGGCTTGCTGTATCCACTTTGGTCTATTTAGTTAAGGACACAAATTTTTATATACACTCAATGATTAATGGCTTCTCATTAGTTTTCCCTGCCACAAATTAAACACAAACATAATACAGTCACCAAAGGAAACTTATTGAAG